GCTGTTCACTCAGGAGATTCTATATTTGTGATATTGCCTATTTGTGAAAATGTATTCGTAACCACAAATCAATACTCTCATTGCTTTTGTGATCTATATATAGACATGCACCAAGCATGAAACACTTGAGGCACCCAGACATGCATGTTCTGAGCTGAGGTCCAACAAGACCGTATTCTGCCTTCTTGTTTCAGTTTTCATACAGTGTGCTTTTTGTGATCTATTTAGTGCTACACTTCTTTCACATTTTTGTACTTGTTGACAGTGATTTCACTGTTTAAAATGACCTCTGGGGGCCCCACGCGGTGGTGCACGCCTGTAATTCCAGAACTTTGGGAGACCGAGGCAGGCAGATTACAAGGTCAAGAGATCGAGACCATCCTGGCCAACATGGTGAAACCCCATCTCTACCAAAAATAGAAAAAAGTTAGCTGGGCGTGGTGGTACGCGCCTGTAGTCCCAGCTACTCAGGAGACTGAGGCAGTAGAATCGCTTGAACCTGAGAGGCAGAGGTTGTAGTGAGCCGAGATTACACCACTGCACTCCAGCCTGGCAACAGAGTGAGACTCCATCTCAAAGAAAAGACCTCTGAGCACAGTGCTGAAGTGTCATCTAGTGTTTCTAAGCACAAGAAGACTGTGAGGTTCCTTGCAGAGAAAATACATGTGTTAAATAAACTTCGTTCAGGCATGAGTTATAGTGCTGTTGACCATGAGTTCAATATTAATGAATCAATATTGTATATTAAATAAAGTATCTTTATTTTTGTTTTGTTTTGTTTTGTTTTTTTGAGACGGAGTCTAGCTCTGTCGCTCAGGCTGGAGTGCAGTGGTGCGATCTCGGCTCACTGCCAGCTCCGCCTCCCAAGTTCACGTCATTCTCCTGCCTCAGTCTCCCGAGTAGCTGGGACTACAGGTGCCTGCCATCACACCCAGCTAATTTTTTATATTTTTAGTAGAGACGGGGTTTCACCATGTTAGCCAGGATGGTCTCGATCTCCTGACCTTGTGATCCGCCCACCTCGACCTCCCAAAGTGCTGGGATTACAGATGTAAGCCACCACTCCCAGCCTAAATAAAGTGTGTTTAAACATAAACATACATAAAGCAAGGTTATGTGTTGATTAGTTGACAATTATGTGACCAAAGGCTTGCAGGAACTTAACCCTACATTTCCCCTGGAAGCTATCGCTCCGCATTTATTCAGTGTTTAAGATGATTTTATAGAATATAGCTACTGCACGTAAAATGAATCGACTGTGGAGAAATTTATCCAATCATCATAGCTTGGTGAGTGCTCCTGTAGAGGTGTGAGTGCTATTCTACGGAAGCACACAAGAAAGAACAGTTGACTTGGTCTTGGAGAGTTGAAGGAGTCATTATAGAGGGGTTGCTTTTGAATCGGGTTTCAAAATAATGAGTAGAAACTCAAAGAATGGACCAGGTTGAAAGGTCATTCAAGACAGTGGCGAATTATGTGCGAAGGAAGGAAGGTCTGAAAGAGCTTGACACGTTCAGTGATTAAAAAGCAAGTGAAGTCAGAGCTCTTAAGTCGTGTGCTCCAACTCAGCCACAGGCAAGGATTTCCAGCCATTACAAAGTTTCTCTACACAGTTTGGGCTGTGATTTTTGCAGTAAGGAAGTGTGCAGCATGTCAGCTGTGAAAATTGGCTCAATGTTCATAATCAAGTCTATTATGCTCCCTCTGAAGCCTAGTCCATGTTTCCGTAGAAACCCCTAGTTACATAAAGGGACCCCGGCCAGCAATTGGCAAGAAAACCCACCACCTTTGTAAGCCATTATAGTAATGCCAGGGGGAAAACATTATATAATTTCTGCTGGAGGTTAGTGGGCTTAGAGGGCAAAAATAAAGATACATTCCTCGCAGAGTAGTAAGCAGAGAGTGCCACAGGGCCTCACGACACAGGATCCCTCCATCTCCCTGCCTCATCCTCATCTATGAATTAACCCACTAGCCAGTGGGTTCTTTCCTGTGCTTATTAACGCACTGGCTAGTGGGTTAATAAGCACTTTCACAGTTTGTAATGAGCACTTCCTACATGCTCAGTCCAATTCAAGGCACCACAAGGCTACACACACACACACACACACACACACCACTTCACGTATTTTTTCTTTCACAGCTACAAAGCGGTTTATAATAGCCTTCACATCAACCTTCACAGGTAGATTTTAGTACTCCAATTTTATGGAAGAGGAAACAAAAGCACCAAATGATAAAGTATCCAGTGAATGGCAGAATTAGGATTTATGTTCGGCTTTGACTTCAAATCTACGATTTCATCTGTGTCTCAGAAAAAAAAAAAAAAAAAAAATTCCCTGTCCTTGAGAAAGTTGTGTATGTGAAAAGTCCTGCATGCCACTCCTGAGAACGAGCTGTCACACATGATGTGTCAGAGGAGTAAGTGGTTCAGACTGTCAGTTTTATAGAAATATTCAGAGGACAGAAGTTTTTGCCCAAAGTATCACACTGTCCCCAAGGTGCATCACTAGCATGGGAAGAAATAATTTTTGGCAGCTGAGATGGCAGAGGTAGGTATGTCAGCAAAAGTCCAGAAGCAGAAAGGATCCTTTCAAGAGACAAGGGAGTCAGGTGGTAAAGGGAAATCTAAGTTGTTGAGGGATTTAGAGGGAATGTTTCATATCCCCTTAGATAGGTCTCAGTGGGTGGAGAGGCGCCCTGGATAGAATCAGCCGTGTGGGGTTTACCATTTTCACGGCTGCCTCCTCTTCCTTCTTCATTCATTGTTGCTAAGGATCTTAACCTATCATCAGTCTCCTTATTTGGGGCTCTGGTTAAGGCCACTCAGTCCCCAGGTGCTCCCAGAATCAGCCTGCAGATTCTCAGGCTGATGTCCTTAACTCTCCACTCCCCCATGTTGTGGGATCTGCCTGGTACGTTGGCCACCCCAGACCACTTTTCACACAGGCCTCCACTTTGTCTCTCTACTTGAGAGTCTTTGTGCCCATTTCCTGCCTATTGAAGTCTAACTTCCCACCTCAGATTTTAGCTTAAAACTGCCCTTTTCAAGAATCTGGTCTCAGTTTCCTCCAATCACAAAGAATCCTTTCTTTTCCTGGGTCCGCACGGCAAATATCTCTATGTTAGCCTTTTTCCACAGGCAACCTGCCTGTGTCCTCCTCAAGACCAGGGAACTCTGTCCTTATTTCATAACTTAGCACAGTGCCCGGCACTTTGTCCATGCTTCATCACTCTCTTTTTAAAAATAAATACATGAAAAACATGTCCTTGAAACTAGAACAGCTCAGTTTACATTTAATTTAATTAAGATATTAAGGTTCGTTTTAGCAAACATATTGTGAGTGACAACCATCTAAAATTCAATCTCAACTTACCTGCCTCCTAAATGGCAGTTTAATTTCACTATAATCTTTATTATAATAACCTTTAAACTTGTTATTAGTATTACTGATAAAGTTAAAAGACTTTCATCTGGTAATTGTGTCTTAGGAAACATTCAATTATTAAATTCCACACTGATCATTAGAAAACCCTATTATTTCATAATAGGCTGGGCAATACCATGAAGGTATCCCTCAATTATTGAAACAGAAGCCATCTCTAAGTGAGTGGAAGTGAAATCTCACACATCAAATCGTCTACTCACAAACTTAAGCTGTATTATTACAGACAGACGGGTGTAAAGTGAAAAGTCCTCTCATGGTCTGAAATGATAGTGTTTTATGGGGATGAATGGTGTTTGTGGCTGATTAGTCCTCGCTCTTCTCAAAACCTGGCCAAGCTCAAGGTGGACAGATTAAGCCAGAAAATATTAGGGGGGTGTGTGTGTGTGTGTGTGTAGTAATAGTAGTAGTAGTAGTAGTAGTAGCAGCAGCAGCAGCAGACATGGTTTACCTCATGGCAAGAAGGCTTTTCTCACAGAGCTACTCACAGATAAAACGCCTTTGCCAGCCAGACACGGTGGCTCACGCCTGTAATCCCAGGACTTTGGGAGGCCAAGGCGGGTGGATCACGAGGTCGAGTTCAAGACCAGCCTGACCAAGATCGTGAAACCCCATCTCTACTAAAAATACAAAATACAAAAATTAGCCAGGTGCAGTGGCAGGTGCCTGTAATCCCAGCTACTTAGGAGGCTGAGGCAGGAGAATTGCTTGAACCCTGGGGGATGGAGGTTGCAGTAAGCCGAGATCACGTCACTGCACTCCAGCATGGGCGACAGAGTGAGACTTCTCAAAAAACAAAAACAAAAAAACACCTTTGTAGGAATTGACAACAGAGGCTGGTCTAGGGCATGGGGAAAACTCAAAAAGATAATGAGAAAGTGTTTCTTCTGGTCCTAAGGATCCCTTCCAAGTGAGAAACTATTTCACTCTCACTAGACAGTGCCTTCCTGCCCTCTGAATTTTTGCCAAAAAACAGACCAAGAGCCTCTGAGGGCAGTTCAGGAGAGCCTTTCAGAGCGCAAAGGAAGCTTGGGCAGCGAGTCCTCCCAGGGGAAACACCCTAGATCTCAGAAAGGAGAGGGGCCTGACCAGGTTCTCCTGATGCTTCCCACCTCCTGTGATCCCAACCCACACAGGGCCCCAACCCATGCAGCTTCGGGCACATACTTTGGCACACTATGGGGATTTAACACGTGTTTCATGATGTTCTGGCTGATGGACTGGGAAAGGAAGCAGCCGAAGCCGGGGTCCCCAGGAGCTCTCCCTCCCCTCAACAGGAGCTCTGACTCACAACCTGTTTGGCACTGCTGAGTCCTCTCTGGTTTCCTGAATCTCCCTCTCTCTAATGCAAAAAGCCTCCATGGCAGATGTTTTAGAACAATGATCACGTCAATGATGCTGTAACCCACTACTTTCTTTTTGCATCATAGAATTTTGTTAAGTGTTTTTGCAGACTTACTCTTTAAGGTTAATTACTTTTTTTTTGATTGAGCCTTTGGGAAGACTTTACGGTGGTCCTATCAGATAACTGCGGGCCCCAAGGCTGGATAGCTGTTAATAGGATGGGCAGAAAGGGACTGGGAGCGAGGCTGGGTTCAGAATCTCAAGTAATTTGGGAGTTTGCCTAGGGACTGGGACGATTTGGCTGGGCATTAATTTGAAGGTGAATATGCGTCTAGAGATTGCGGGGATTTCTCCTTTTTCTTGGAGGGCAACCCTGGGTGTGGAGGAATTCGGTGTGCAGAAACAGAAAGGTCTGGTTCAGGCTTCCTCTGGGAAGGCAAGGCCAAGAGGCCAAGGCTGAGAAGGGGCAGGAGCGACCCTGCTGGGGCGGGTCCGCACCAGCTCCTAGGAGCAGAGGGCAGAGCCGGGCAAGGAGATGGGGTTGTCCAGGCGAGGGTGAGGACGCGGTCGGTGACAGCGCGGGTGGGGATCCC